CAAAAATATGATTATGAACTATGATCTAGTGATGATGCAAATGAACGCGAAGCAAAAGCCAGTTAGGTTAGAAAAAGAGAGGGAAAATTTTGGGGTGCTACAACTTTATGAAAAGTTTTTAAGAGAAAAAGTGCATAAAGGCACAAAAAGTTTGAATGAGGTGAAGTGATTTTTATATCTTTTTTGAAATTGGTCAAAATATGATTAACATTGATTGGTATTTATTAAAGAAAACAAAGTTTAAAAATCACTTGACAAAAGTCAAGGTTTTTTATGAAAGCGGTTTTAAGTTTGAAAACTAGAAGTTTTTTTTTGAAAAAGGGAGAAGATTTTGAAAAGTTAAGAAGGGGACGAGATGAAGTGACTATCCTAAAAAGCAAAATAAAATCTAGATATAAGAAGGATCTAACCAAAAGATAGCAAACTCAATAGTAGGCCAAATAAGAATTTCTTCCATCTTGAAGCATAAGCAAATGAGCAAGCCAAATAAAGGCAAAGATCCATAATACTTCAAGCATAGGGAAATAGACCTAATTCTAAGTCCAAGAGTCCAAGAATAATGCATATGAAAGTAATCATAGTCCACCATTAAGAGAATAATTTTTTTAGGGGTTTAAGCCTTTATTAATGTTTTTAGTCCAAATGGACAAAAGAAAAAGGACATAAACATAAACAAAAGGTCCAAGTGGACAAAGAAAAAACGGAGGAAGCATAAACAGTAATATGATATGAGATGATAATAATAGAGCATAAACATAAAAGAGAGATAGAGAGCAAGAAGGAAACATAAACAAAATTATCACAATAATATTGTTAGTGAGTTAGTGATTAGTTGTTATAACAAATGATCAACAATGGTTAACTCATGCACTTAGGCCAAAGTTAATGAAAACTCATTAGAGGATCGATAAAATCAGAGCCTCCTAACAACAAGTTTCATAGGTAATGGACCTAAGACAAATAATCAACCATACTTGGACTTTCAAACATAAGTTTGAGCCACAAATGATCATTTTCCGATTACGGGACAATTTAGCGCTATGTTAAGCAATCGTAATCGAGTTTATGTAGAAACCACGACTATCTGAGACCGGTCAATAAAAATGTTAGTGTTAATGCATGCTAGATAAGTGATATGTAGATCATTCTCCTAAAGCAATACCGCACAAAAAGAAAATAGGTAACGATCTCATCTTCATCAAGAACTTGAAATAAGTTCCAACGATATCAAAGATTTTCATCAATCAAAAGAAAAAAGAGAAGAGGATTAAAGCACTAAACATATCATTAACTCAAAGCACCTAAAATGAATTACAATTTCAAGATCATTCCATATTTAAGTTCATCCACTCATCTTAGTGGATTAAAGCACTAAACATATCATTAACTCAAAGCACCTAAAATGAATTGAACAATTCACTTTAAAGATATATTTGAATTAATGAATGTTTATCCAACTTCATCTACACCCTAAGTCCAATGAATTTAAAGAGGAAAAGGACCTCTAAAAGTGTATTCCAAAGAAAAAACCAAATGGAAATGGAAGAAGAATAAGAAAGAACCAAAACAGTCCTAAAACAAAGCAAAAAAAATACATTCTGCACTGTGCAAATCGATTGCACGGCAGAAAATCAGCAATTTTGGGCAAAAAATACACTGTGCAATCGATTGCACAAATAGTGCAATCAATTGCACACTGACAGACAACAATAAAACCAGCATTTACAAGGCAAAACCATGATCAACCATTTCTTCAAACATCTCATGATCAAGGATGCAATTGAGCACGAAAATTCAATTAAAATAACATCAAATAGCACCAATGGAACACAATTTGCAAGATCCAAAGATCAAGCAACAAGAATCAACAATAGACCATATTGTGGAAGATGGATCAAGCACAACAATGGTGGAACAAGGGTTTACCACTTGAAATATGAAAGTTCTTCAAATCAACTCCAAAAACCACCTCCAAAGCCTTGATCTACAAAATTTGATGATGAAAAAGTGAATGGATGAAGGCTTAGCTCAAAGATTAGTAAGTTCTAATGATTAACTTACTAACTTTCAAAGGAAGAAAGAGCTTTGGTGAATTTGGTAGTTGGAGAAAAAAGAGAGAGTCAAGAAAAAATTTGACAAGGTGAAATTGACTATCAAAAGCTTGTGAAATGAGGCCTCTATTTATAGAATTTAGGCTTAAAAATTTTGGTGGTTTGAAATTTGGTTTGGAATCAAAATTAGGCTTGAAATTTTAATTTGGAGGAAAATTAATGATCAAGTGGTGATTAATGAGGGTGAATGGTGGGAATTTGTTTGTGATGAGGTAGTGAAATTATTTTTGGGTGATCTAAAATATTCCCAAATGATGAAATTGGTGCCAAATGCTTCAAAATTTGAGAAATACTGATTTTGGCCAATTATGTCCTTGTGCAATCGGTTGCACTGTAGTGCGAATAGACTGCACTGCTGAAAACTTCAAAATCTAGACAAAAAATGCAGGGTGCAATTGATTGGACCAATAGTGCAATCAATCACAGTTGAAAAACTTGAAAAATGCCTTGATGGCTGGGTTGTGCTGGCTCTGACTCGATTCTTTTGACTTGTCAAAAAAGGTATGGAAATAAACACATGAACCTTGGACATTTCTTGAAAATAATCAATCAATACTTGAGAACTCTTAATCAGATGAATTTGAATTATTTGCATATCAACTTTGACTTTTTTCAGATGAATTTCATTCGAGTTGAGGGACTGTTGATTAGTGTTCTTGATCCAAACTTCTTCTTGAAAAAGTTAGTAAAGGGAAAAAAACATATTTTTGGATTTTGATTAAAGGTTAGTAAACATAAAAAAAATAAACACCAAGCATACAAGAAAACAAGGATGCCCAATGATATCCCTCATAGATAAACCTGCAGAGGAAAACAAGAGAACCAAAGCTTGTGATCTTATTTGTGAAATGAGATGCAGATGATATGTGGGATCTTAGGAATAAAAATTAGAGTATTACACGTATGTTTAAAGCGTTGTCATTTAAATAACAAATGACTACTTTTTGAGAATCGATACTTAAGGTGCATAGGTTGGTAACACTCTTAAAACCACACTTTAAAGTTAATAAGCGACATTTTTTAGAAAAATCTAAAATCTTGTCTACGGATAAAAAGATGCGGCCTATTACACTTATAAGCTATGGTTTTAAAACCGTTGTCTATTGTTTTGTTGCCATAAGTAAAATGTTGTAGTGCATATAGAGGCGATTTTAATCGTCTCCCACATATAAGCTTCACCACACATCATTTGCATGTATGATCTCATTCTCAATTTCAAATTATTTCTCTATCACTTAGCTAATTAGCTGATTTAAAGATTTAAAGATTGGAGTATTAATATTAAAAGTTTCCTCTCACTCGACTGCATATTTAGTTCTCACTGTCGTATAAGAAGAATCCATTCATCCACACTTTCTATTTTGTTCCATAATATAACAAGTCATTTAATATGTTGTGTTTGGAAAAAAAAATATTTTCAATTTAAAAAAAAAATTTGATGTAGCATTAAATTTAAATTTGTCAATAATATTTTTAATTATTTATTATAAAAAAATATAAATTAAAAAATATTAAATAATTAAGGATATTACAAAAAAAAAGAAAAAGAAAAAAGTATTAACAATAATAAAATTTATTATTTGGATTAATGTGTATAAAATATTTAAAAGTGGCTTGTAAATAGAAATCTAGAGTAAGAGAAGGAGTAATAGTGCATATACCTAATTAATATTTTCATTTATTTATTTAAGGTGACCAAATTAAATCGAAAACTATATTTTACCTAACATAAATTATTAAAGTATGAAAAATCGTGTGATGTTGGGTCGCAGACAAATTGAACATGTATAGCACGTGGTTTCCTCTTACTTATCTTCATCGCCCATTCTTCAACCATACTTTTCAAAATCCAAAGTTCCAACTTTGAAGTCAAGTTCTTGCTTCATCATAGTTTTTACCTTGTAAGTTTTTTCACTTCAATCTCTTATAACAAATTCAATATTATTATTTTATTAGCCGTTTTGATTTTGCTATTGTTTTGTTGTGTTTGTTCTAAATTTGGGTATGAGTTTATTATCTTGAGTTTTGTGCTTAAACTTGGTGATGAGTTATGTTCTTATGGAAATTTTATACCTTCTATGATTGGAACAATTAGTATGTTTTGCTGTAAATGCAAACACTGTAATTTGAACTTCTGAATTAGCTTGATGTTGATTTTAATGCTATAATATATTTAGATCATTAATATAACTAGGGTTTTAAATTGCGATACAATTGCATTTAGGATCCTTGATATTGGCGAAAATCACAGCTAGCCTCAACCTCAATTGCAGACCTGTTTTTAAACCGAGAATATAAAAAGCTAGGGTTTTGAATTGCGACAGTATCACATTTTGGATCTTCATATTGCATAAAATCGTAGTTAAATGCGTCTGATGTAGTCTCAACTTCAATTGTGGGCCTGGTTTTTATCCGAGAAAATAATAACCAAGGTTTTAAATTGTGACATAATCGCGTTTTGGAACCTTGATGTTATAGAAAAACTGTTAAATGCAGCTGATGCAGCCTCAACTGTGATTGTAGACCTAATTTTAAATTGAGAGTATTGTAACCAAGGTTTTAAATCGCGACACTATCACGTTTTGGATCCTTCATACCACATTTAAATGCAGCTGATGCAGCCTCAACCGTGATTGTAGACCTAATTTTAAATTGAGAGTATTGTAACCAAGGTTTTAAATCGCGACACTATCACGCTTTGGATCCTTCATACCACATTTAAATGCAGGTGATGCAGCCTCAACCGTGTTTTGGACCTCCATTAAGTTATGAAATTTTGGCCAAAAAATATCCTTAAAACTTATCTGAAGACGGTCTTAAGATATTGCACTTATGTATTTGTCATATGAACTAGCTGCTTAAGTTATTTGTTTTTAAATTCAGGTTCTTATGATGGGCGAGTCAGAGGGTACAAAGTTCGGCTTAGATGTCAGGAAGAATGAAAAAGACGGGTTTCAAAAAAGATTGAATCCTGTAATATCTAAATTTTTTGTACAGCTCCCTCACAAGTTTCAAAATGTTGTAAAGGTCAATCACCAATCCCGCATCTTAAAATTTAGTACAAACCTCTACTTGCGCTTAACCGATTATTTGTTAACTACAGAATCAGCTGAGTAGATTAGCAAAACATGAGGGAATACATTGGGGAAGATCTGATCAGAGAAATGGGAGTGGAACTTTTAGTGTTTCTGAAGCTGAACTGAATGAGCAACTGCAAGCATGGAAAGAAAATCCTTCTTGGGTTGATAAGCCATCAGAAATAAAGGTGAGGAGCTGCTTTTTTTATATCAGAGTTGTTTTTTTTTTTTTTTTCCAGAAAATATTGATTTCTTAATAAAAACAAATTATTAATGGATTTTGGCTGCTTTAGAATGTAGATAGACTAGTAGTTTGCCTAAGGCTGTTCTTTAACATGTTCCTATCTAAGAAGCATTGACATAGACACGAACATCAGATACAACACCAACACCAACGCATAGATATGAATAATAATTTGAGAAAAAAAAAAGTGATTGTATGTAATCACAAGTGCTAGTGTCGTCTTGAACACTCAGACATGCTTGCAATTTAAAGTGTCAGTGCTGCATTTATATCTATGTGTGTTTATGTCTTTGTAAATGATTGTTTTTGGCAGGTGACTGTTCCCAAAGGCTCTCTTTGCAACCTCAATGTAGAAGTTGATGTTGGTTTTCCCCCTGATGCAGTATATAATATAGTAACAGATCCTGACAATAGAAGAGTTTTCAAAAATATCAAAGTAGGTAACTTCATTCATCTATGAATCTTCTCAATGTGTTTGGTTAAAATTGTAACTACCTTCCAAAAAGAAATTGAAAAACATTTGTATCGAAACAGACATTCTGTTTCAAATGTTTCTTCTTCACTCTAGATTATTATCTTTTTACTTCTAGTTTGTACTTTCATCAGTTACAATGTTCTGCAACTGAACATGGAAATGTCTTACGTGGTTCAGGAAGTTATCTCCCGAAAAGTTTTGGTTGATGAGGGTCATAGGCAAGTGGTTGATCTTGAACAAGCAGCTATTTGGAAATTTCTTTGGTGGTCCGGAACTATTTCAATAAATGTTTTGGTTGATCAAAACCGAAATGACTACTCTGTAAGGATCTATCCCTTTTTCATATATAATATAATCTATAAAGCATGGACACCTCTAGGAGTAGGCGTGTTGCGGTGTCCGACACGCGTTGGTGTACGAAACTTGTATGACACCCGTATGACACACGTTGGAAAAGTTAAAGTGTCGGAAAAGTCAGACAAGTGTCCACTAAAATATAACTTTTTTCTTTGATTTGACACTCTTTGAATCAATGGTTGACACTCATAACACATATGTCAGACGATTCGAACAAGTGTTTCAAACAAAAATTTGTTTTTTTCTTTGCTTCAATACACCTTTATATATATTTTGGACCAATCTCACACAAATTTAAAATTGTTAAACGAGTATTTAAGCAATTTTATCAATAAAGAATTAATAACATTAATTTTGATTAGAATATTTTCAACTTTGTAAATAATAGATGAATAAACAAAGCTCAAATAATCTCTTATATATAGCAGTGTCGGTGTTCTATGTTTTAATATTATCGGTGTCAGAGTGTCCGTGTCGAGTCGTGTCCTGGTGTCCGTGTCGAGTCGTGTCCTAGTGTCCGTGTCGGAGTCTGTGCTACATAGAATATAATGAATGAATTCCATATTTGTTGCACTTGCACATGATCATTTGCAGCACATATAACTCCACCTCTCATAGACTGCAAATCTTTAAGGTGAGTGAGCAATAATACGACATAGACACATCAGACTCATGGCATGCCCGGTGTCTCACAGCAATACGACATCAACACATGTGGTTTACATACAATCACTTTCATTTTCACAAATTATTACAAGTCTATACGTGTCAGTGTTGAGGCCGCGTCTGAAGCCTGTATCTGTGCCAATACTAAGATAGTTTTACTTTTCATCCAACAAAAATGAATGTATATCTAACATACTACTCCGTAATTTTTGTATCAGATGAAGTTCAAGCAAACCAAGACAGGATTCATGAAAAAATTTGAGGGCCACTGGAGAGTCGAGCCTTTATTTGTCGATGAAGCAACCTGTTATCCCTTTAAACCCTCAACAAAGGAAGACTATAACATGTGTACGAGAGGCAAAGGAAGAATCGGGTCTAAAGTTCGTCTAGAACAAATACTTCAACCTGCGATTGTCCCTCCACCTCCGATATCATGGTATCTGAGAGGAATCACTGCCAAGACAACTGAAATGCTTATAACTGATTTGCAAGCAGAAACTGCCAGAATTAGAGGAGGATATGAGATTGAAAAATCCAAGGAAGAGATTCAAGAAAAAACTGATAAAAGTTTTGACCTGATTGCTAACACAAATGATATTAAAGAGAGGTGGAGTATACGGAGAAAAAACGCAAAGCAGAGTCATAGAAGACCGATAGACTGCTAAATGGTTTTCCTATGTTTATATAATTTTAATTGAAGCAATCTGTCTAGATTTCACCATAGTTATTCAGCTCACTTTAAAGGATTCTAATTTATATATATATATATATATTTTTTCTCCATAATGTTGATGTCATTAGTTTTTGGTGCGATGCAGTGTATCAGTGTACCAGGTTTTGGAAACCATGAATTTTGCCAACACTAACCATGTAGTGTGCATCAGTGTTTAAAACTACTAACAAACATCAGAGAACTGTCTTTAAGGCAACTAAGCAATATAGTAAAATCTAAAATCGTGGGCTCCAAAACACAAGAGAAGGAAATGGCATTCACGCAGTCAACCACCACCAGAGCGTCCGAGTGAATTAGCACAATATCAAGCTTCAGCTCCATTGCCAGTTGTAGACCCCACCGAATTGTCATAGCTTCAGCCACACTAGGTTCGATATAAACTTCTTCTTTCTTGCTACCAGCTAAAATAATCTTGCCATCGTGGCCTTTGATCACATAGTCCAGCACCATTGTGCCATCCTGGAAACAGGCAGCATTTACCTACACAAAACCGAAACCAATGGAATGGATCACTTGAGCATCCGACATGATTTCCTTCTTCCTCACATGCGGACCAGAATTCAAACTATTGAATTCAAAAGCAAAACCTGGGACACTCGATGTCACCACCTGAAGTTCGAACTGAACATTCTTGAAAAGCCACTTATTCGTTCCAGTCCAAATTCTCCATAGTGCTATGCACACTGTTTGCAATCCCAATGGATCAGCAAGGGATAACATGGTTCCTAGCCAGTCCCGAATCTCCACATTTGCAGGCACAGGAATACCAATTTCAGAGGAGAACAACACCATCTTAGTAACTGGGCATTGCATGAATATGTGTTGAGCCGTTTCTGGTATATAGTGACAGTGAGGGCACGAAAGATCTAGCTTAATATTTTTCTTCTCTAGATTTTGATAGGTTGGGAGAATGTTTTTTGGGAACTGCCACAGAAATTTCTTACTCTTATATGCACCAGAGCTTGTCAATCTTCTTCCACAAACTATTATGTGGGGGGCTTGAGGGGCCTGCTGTGTTTGAAGCTCTCTGAGCTGCAAGCATATCGTAAGTTGATCTAACAGAATACTCACTATTTTTCTCATCATGCCAAATGAACTTATTCTCCAGCCTTTGCATAGATAGTGGAATACTACAATTTGGATGGCATCTGCAGGATCAAAGCAGTTGTTTATTAACCCCTTCTTCCACATAAAAAGGTCTTGGTCAATAAGACTACTGACCACCGCGCCTTTATCCAAACACCATGCAGCATATGAATCTTGAAACCTACATTGTCATGTAGCCAATTGTCACCCCAAATCTTCACACCTTTTCCATTTCCAATCCTCCACCTAATTCCTGCCACAATAAGAATCTTAGAACTCAGGATCCTCCTCCAGGCATAACTTGAAGAAAAGCCTGTTTTCGCCTCCAGGCCGAACTTTTTAGGATAATACCTCTATTTGAACACATTCTTCGCCTCCAGGGCCTCCACAATTGTTTACCAAACAAGCTAGAATTAAAGGCACTTATCCAACGAAAGTCCATGCCTCCAACACCTTTTGCACAGACCATTTTCTCCCAGCTCATTCAGTGGATTTTTCTGTCCCCCTCCCTAGACACCTGTTGTTCTTTTTGATACGCTTCATTAGATAAAACAACATATGTACAAGATATATATGTATTTTGTGCTGAGACAACATGTGGAATAAAATGTTTTAGCATGTGTTTTATCATCTGACACCATCGACTCTCAATCTACATACCAAGAAGTGTGAATAAATATGTGTGGATTAGTGTTTGATTCTTGAAAGATTTTTTGCTATATCTTTTAGCAATTTGTTAAAAAGAGTTTATTAATCCATAAAATTAGAAAATATTTAATTAGATATGAATTAATTAAAAAGATTTAGACTTTGTTTGAATAAGAATATTTAATGGGATATGCTTTAAAGATAGATTTGGTTAGATTTAATTAAACAAATATTCAATGAAAAGTTTTAATGAGATTTGTTTTAATTAAAAGGCATAAATTTGCACTTAATGAGAATGATCTTCAATGCAAGATTTAGAAGTGTGGTTCAGTTTTAGCAATAGATTTATTCTGAACCCTTTACTTGAGAAGTTGGAATAGTGATTTATATCAAGTAAATATTTTATTTGAATTGGTCAAGATTCAGAATTCTGTCACAAAGACACATGTGAGACTTGACGTTCCAGCATGTGTGCAACATTTGCCCCTTTTCAGCAGGCTAGTGTTGTAGTTGTTCTACGCGTTATTTTTTAGTTGTTTCAATCAGATTTGTTGTAAATTTGATGTTATATTTTAGCAATGCATTTATGTAGAGTTTTTTTTATTAGATTGATGCGATTAAATCAATTTAAATGGAGATTTAAATTTGAATCAAATCAAATCTTTTTTGGAGGATATTGGAAAAAAAAAATCTTAACAGAATATCCTACAATTCTGGATGTGACCTAATGCCCATCGGAAAAGCCTAGAGATTGCATTGCTATTTAAGGAGACTCAGACCTAACATTTGAAGGGTGCGAGTATTGGAGATCTATGTGTTATGGTTTATCTTTTTAGTATTTGTTTTTATTTTTGTTTGTGCACCACTCTAGAGCTTTCATTCAATATCTTAAAGCATAGAGTTTGGTTTGTTTAGTTGAGTTCTAATTTAACATTCTTTATTTTGATTTTTATAGTAATCACTTGGGATTAGTGATTAAGAGAAAGTGAGAGAGATTCTCATATTTAATGGGAGTTCTAAATAGAAATTCACTAAAATTAGGACGAGGCATTGAACAATATGGGGTTGTTGTTCCTATAAGATTAATTGTACTAATTTAAAATAGTGGATTTCCTTTCTTTGGTTGGTGCCCCCTGATGTAGGTGGGGTTGCACCGAAATGGGTTAACAGTTTTTTGTGTTCTTTTATTGCTTTATGCATTTATCAATAATCTATCAATTTTGTTTTAAGTTGTTGAACACATTGACTTAAACATTTGATCCAACACTTATTTGCTTAATTGTTATTTGTTATCTATCTTACAAACTATTTTTTTTCTGGTATGCAATGTCCCAGACATTTGGTTCGACATTTGTCCCTGCCTGAACAGAATTTCAATTGGTATCAAAGCAGACACCGTATTTTATTTGGGTGTCTTTCAAGGTTCTTATTATGTTCAAGATGGAGAATTTCAAAGAAAGAGGAGTAGTTCATCGCCCAAATATTATTTATGGTATTAAGAATCCTCCAAAGATTGTAGGCAAAGACAATTATGAAGATTGTGAAGACCAGATAGATTATGATATTGAATAAAATCGCAAACTTGCTAAGACTTTTAGTAAAGTCATGAGATAACTAGATTTGAAATCTGGGAATGATGTCTCTTCAAATGCTCAAGACAATAAGCAACACAATTTCAAGAGGTGTAACTTTTAGCATAAAGGAATAGGTGGTGACAATCTCAATTGGATCTAATGTCTTAAATGCTAATATTTTTGACATACTCAAGCCGAATGCTCAAGTTTTTCAAGGAAACAAATAAGAATATACAATGTCACTAATTATGAGGAAGATGAATCTAATCAAGCACACGCTGTTATGAATTTCAAAGACATGAAAGAGGTTATACATACTGGTGAGCCATCCAATTCAAAGTAAAAATGTATTACTCATATTCAGAAAAAAGATTGCAGAGTGTCAGGCAACAAGTCTCAACATCCTGTCAAACATGTTTACCAGAAAAAAGTATGTAGAATGTCATGTAGCAAGTCTCAACATCCTGTCAAACATGTTGACCATCAAATAGAATGCAGAATGTCAGGTAACATGTCTCAACATCGTATCAAAAATTATTACCAGTGCATTAATTTATTCTACTCCATTCCATTGTACTATTATAAAATGTATGATAGTCAACCACATCATCAACATATGTATTCCTAGTGGAACGAGAAGTATGAAAGACATCATCAACAAGTTTTCCATGGCTAGCCTAATATTCTTGTTCATATTGTGTGTTCCTCCAACAAGGTATTTTCTTGTGAAGATTGTCATTTTGACAGTAGATACAATAGACGTTTGATAGGAGAATGAAACAATATTACATTTTGTGATAACAATAAAAGAAAGAAATTGGTAAAGATGAAGATGGTTGTTTCCACTATAGAGCATAATGTTGAAGATCATGTTCCAGATATCATGGACGACATTTTAGATATTGAAACCAAGCTATGGCACGAAAATCTTGGGAATATAAGGAACTTTATTGTAGAGAAACATGTCATATGTATGTGTCAAGTTGGGAAGCAAACCGAGATGTCTTATAAGATGTTTCTACATTATACTCATGCTTCTAAATTATCACTTATGGACTTTACGGGACTTATGTAAAGATTTTTTTGAAAGGGAAGACTGATGGTTAGGCTGAAAGTCCTTCCAACATTGAACAACCCGTGATTCATAAGAAGAAGCTAAAGAATATTAGTGATTATGGCTTAATTTTTCTTATTGGAGTTCCTTCTCATATTTCTAGAACTTTCACTATTCAAAAACATGATATTATGTTTGGTAAAGCTGAAATTGGTGTTCCTCTTAGTCTGTTGAATTTCACTTATAGGTTGTATGTCAGGAAACATGTCCCAAACATTTTTCCCTATAATACTCCACATTGTGACAAGTCTAATATGGCTATGGGTGAAAATCTTCTTATTGTCCCACTCATGTACGGGCCTATAAAAAACCATCATTTCATTCAAAAATACTTTGTTGATGAGACCCAAGAAAATCAAGATGTTGATAAATATGTTCTAGACATTCCGTTGATAACGCGAAAATGCATATTATAAATGCCATGTTTTTTAGCTATTAATGTTTGGTTTCACCCCGATTTCGGATTATTCCGAGCTATTTGTCAAGCGTTTTTTTGCAGGTATATGAAGT